AAGGAAGGAAGGAAGAAAGAAAGAAAGAAAGAAAGAAAGAAAGAAAGAAAGAAAGAAAGAAAGAAAGAAAGGAAGGAAGGAAGAAAGGAAGGAAGAAAGAAAGAGAGGAAGAGAGGAAGAAAAGAAAGAGAGAGGAAGAGAGGGAGGGAGGAAGGAAAGAAGGAAGGAAGGAAGAAAGGAAAGAAGGAAGGAAGGAAGGAAGGAAGAAAGAAAGAAAGAAAGAAAGAAAGAGAAAGGAAGGAAGAAAAGAGAGAGGGATAGAGGAAGGAAGGAAGGAAGAAAGGAAGGAAGGAAGGAAGAGAGAGAGAGAGAGAGAGAGAGAGAGGGAGTTAGGGGATACCCAGAATAGAGCATGATGGTCTGTTGAGTTGAAACTCACCATAGCTGCTAATGGAAAATGGAGAGTTGGTACTCTGTCCAATATACTATAAGAAACATACCAACTCTTACTTTACCTTATTTAAAGAAAGGATTTGTGGAGCTAAAAAGACCCTGGTGCAAAAGTGATTACTATGTCTGTTGATGGCCCTGCTAGAATCTGTCACTGTCAGAGAACAGGTTATACCTGAAAGGAAACTTATAGAAAACTGAGCTCAACTCCCATCTACAGATGATGAAAATGTAGCACAGAGTTGAGAAGTTACTTGCTTAAGGTTAAACCATGGTTGATTAGACTGAAACTAGATCCTGAGTCTCCTGGTAAGGCCCCTAAGGTTTTTTAGATTGTAATCTAGATACAAAGTGAATCATAAATGAATGAAAAAAGCAGGAAACCATTCAAGAAACATCCCCATTTGGTGCAAGGACCAGAATACATGGGTATATGAGAATAACTAGGGGAAAAAATAATTTGAGATTTCTGAATCTCAATTTCCTAGTCACAGAATATGTGGCTGGTGCAGTAGATATAGTGCAAGGCCTGGAGTCGAAAAGTAAAGAATCATTTTTCTTTTAAAAGAAAGAGAACAAAAAGAATTCCACAAAACGAACACATCAGCTCAGTCTGTCAGCATGTATGATATTCCACAAGATAGAGCAGCTAGGTGGCACCATAGTGCACAGAGCGCTGGGCCTGAAGTCAGGAAGACACATCTCCCTGAGTTCAACTCTAGCCGTGGACACTTACTGGGCAAGTCACTCGACCTTGTTTGCCTCAATTTCTTCATCTATAAAATGAGCTGGAGAAGGAAATGGCAAATCAGTGTCTTTCCCAAGAAAACCCCAAATGGGGTCAGGAAGTGTGGGACGTGCCTGAAATAACTGAACAGCAAAATAGTATCCTACATCTTCGAAGAAGAGAGGTGCATTTTCTCAACTCCTCTCTAGGGCCATTATAATTATTTTCACTTTTCTTTTTTCATTCTTTCCATTTATATTGTTGTAATCATTATGTATATTGTTCTCCTCATTCTGCATCAGTACACATCTTCCCACACTTCTGCAAAGACTTCATAATCATTGTTTCTTATGGTGTATTAAACAATAGCATTTTTTTTCAAGCAGGCACAATTGTATAAACCACAGCCTTAATTTCTGGTTAAGAAAGCAGACCTGAACACTTCCCTTGCTTTAAAAACAAAATCAAAAGTACCTTTGAGCATTTAGAAACGTTTTTTTATTCCTTTAACTATAATCTCCCTCTCAATTAGTAGGAGCAATAATATTTTAAAGTTATATGAGAATGGCAAGCAGTTTGGTTTGCTGGAACATTTAAGGGTACTGGGTACCATTCCAAGACCAGCCTGACTAAGGTCTGTGCCATATATCACATAAAGACACAGCTCATGGCGGGTGTAGACCACATAACTCACAGTTCCCAGCTTAGAGTCTTCTGCACACAGAGACATGTTTGCCATAGGCTGGCACATAAGGGCCACATATTTTCAGAGCTGACTTATTGAACAAGTGCTGTGGTAAGCTGGATAATTTTTGTTCGGCCAAAGAGAGAGAGGCATTTGAGAGGTCCTTGCTGTGCAAGACAACAGAGTCATCGTGGCTGGCAGGCCCCACACACTTAACGCTGGGGCCCTGCCACCTTGCCACCAGGGAAATTAGATGTCTCATTTTGCACATCATTCAAGACATGAGTCACTCCATGGGTTTGCAAAGGAGGAGGAGAGAGGGAGGGCCATCTGCTAGCCATGAACAGATGACAAATACTCTGCATTGAGAATTTCAATGTGCAGTTACTTCCCAAATTATAAGTCAACACATTTTGTAACCTTTTTTTTTATCAGATTGTGTGCCTAAATGATGGAGATGTTATTTTTTAAAAGCATTAATACATTTTTGAAAGCACCTTATTCCCGGTTCATTGTTGTAGCTACTACAAACAAGTCTTCTAAAATGACTAGAGCAAAACTACAGCTCTGATGATGCCTGGCTCAGGACCATAGTTCAACCCAACATTATCTCACCAAAGTTCTTGTTTCACTGGTGTGCCTGCAGAGCCCCACAGCGACCACCACTGGCTACTGACATGAATCCTGGAGCTCCTGTCATCACCACCTGCAGCAACAGTTCAAGGTGAACCCCAAGCATTTATTAAGCATTTGCTGTATGCAAAGCTATGGTGGGGGGGAGCCTAGGGTACAAAATAATAATAACAATAGCTGACACTTATACAATGCTGTAGGGTTTGCAAAAGCACTTTACATGCAGAAACAAAATAGAAGACAGAGTTAATTATATTGTTATATAACTTCCTTCCCTTGTTAGTAGAAAGACAAAGCAGGCAGATGATGTGCAGTACAATGGAAAGAATCAGAAAACCTCAATTAAACTCTTGGCTCTAGCCTCTCTGAGCTTTTATTTCTTCATTTACAAAATGAGCATATTTTTAATTAAACTACCAGTCTCACAGGATTGTTGTAAGGGAAGCAGCTGTGTACTCTTTGTCAGGGGTGGGTAACCTGCAGCCTCGAGGCCATATGTGGACCTCTAGGTCCTCAAGTGCCACCCTTTGACTGAATCCAAACTTCACAAAACAAATCCTTTTATTAAGGGGGTTTTGGAAAGGCTTCCTGTAGAACATGGGATTTTGGTTAGGACTTAAAGGAAGCCAGGGAAGGCAGCTTTGTGGAGTGGGAAGATTCCCCGGTTTAGAATCAGAAGACCTAGGCTCAGATCTTGGCATTATTACCCACTAACTGTGGGTGTGATCCTAGAAAAGTCACTTTTCATTTCTGGGTTTCAATTTCTCATTTGTAAAATGGAAGGGATGAGTGGGGTTGATCTGGGTGATTTCTACTTTTAAAATCCTATAATATGTCCATCTGTTGTTTTACGGATGGTAGCCCAATTGATAGAGCATTGGACTTGGAGTTACAAAGATCTGAGTTCAAATCCAAGCACAGACACTTACTAGCTGTATGACCCAGAGCAAGCCATACAACTCCAGTTTGTTTCAGTTTTCTCATTAGTAAAAATGACATTCAAAGCCCTTTATAACCTAGCGCCCTACTACCTTCCCAGTCTTTCTATGCCTCATTCTCCAATATATGTTCTTTGATTCAGTGACACTGAACAGCTTCCTAGCTGTTTCGAGAAGGAGACTTTTCTGTCTCTTGCCTCTGGACATTTTCTCTGGCCATCCTCCATACTTGGAATGTTCTCCCTCCTCATCTCCACTGGTTGACTTCTCTGGCTTCCTTTAAGTCCTAACCAAAATCCCATGTTCTACAGGAAACCTTTCCAAAACCCCCTTAATTCTAGTGCCTTCCCTCTGTTAACTATTTAACTCTATTAACTGTTAACTCTATTTCCTATTTATCTTATGTAAAGCCTGCTTTGTGTGTGTATACATACATATATAAATACATATATATATATATAAATACATATATGTATATTTGCTTTTTATCTGTCCCATTAGGTTGTAAGTTTCTTGAGAGCAAGGACTATCTTTTGTCACTTTTTGTATCCCTAGTGCTTAGTATGGTGTTTTACATGTTGATTGATGGATTGATTAAATAGAAAGAATATAATAATAGCACCTATCCCCAGAGGCTGTTGTGAGGATCAGATCTTAAGATATTTGTAAAGTGCTTTGCAAACCCAAAAGTATCACATAAATGCTGCTAGCTCTTATTATTATTCGCTAGTAAGATGCAATACCAAAATGAGTTCTTTTGATTGCAGATACAGTGTTCTTTCCATTATATCATGCATTTCTCATTTTGTTTTTGACAGGGAATTGGGGAAGTAAAGAAGGAAGGTCCAGACCTGTGATTGCATCCATGTAGGGAATTTCTATTATAGAAACTCCCTTCCGTCAAGATAAATCAGCAGCTTATCTGTATCTGGGGATGTACCAGAGCCAAATCAGTGAGCTTGCTGATTATTAAATTTTCAGTGTGATCATTTACAGAAATTAGCAAACAGCTATAAATCAGGTCTTGATTTATTGTTCATTTGATTGTCAAGACATAAGAAAGTGATGGAGGAAAATGTTAATAATGCATATTGAACTTAAAAGTTTGTCCATGTATATCTCTCCCCTTCATGAGTGGATTGTTAAACATTTAAGAGCCATCCCTGTTTGT